GGCTTTCTGCCAATTGCATTGGTATCCATGCATCAGCATGGACCTGATTCTCACACGTTTCACGTGTGCACCCAAGGCACTATTCCCCAATGCACTTAAAGAAAGCTGAAGACGACACTATAAGGGGAAGGAGCGGAAGCTGCCAAAGCAGGCGCGGGACTGCAACTTGATGACAAGTGAAACCAAATTCACGGATGAACGGATCTGCGAAGCCTTCTCTAGATGTACCGTCTGTCCAATTGGATTTTGATTGAACCCATTCGAACCACATGCTGCAATGGAGGCTGAACAACAACATGTGAATCATCTGTGCCAGCCGATCCAGGTCCGGCGAATCAGATCGGCCTCTCACCAAGGACATCAATGATGCGATGTTATCATCCACCATACACATGTGTTGCGCTTAAAGGAGTCTGGAAAACTTATCAAGGCTTGGAAAACCATCAACAACTCTAGTTGCGCAATGACAAAATCCTTTGCTTGCCATAACTGAAGTACCTCAGCATCGATCTTCACTACAGCTCCTCTGCGACAAAAGAAAGTATCGCTGAACAAGAACCCACCTGACCCTTGGCTCATTCATCTCATGGGCTGCATCAGAGGCTGCAATCACGCGTGGCTCTGAAGAGGGAAAAAGGGAGACTGTCCTCCTGGGTCGCAACGGCAAGATGGTTTCGATAACGTCGAACGCTACCTCAAGGTGGGTTGTCAGCTCTACAGAGGTGTCGAGGTGTCGCCGATCTTTGATGGCATTCAGCCCTGCTCGGGCCACCTTGCCAAAGGCAGCCTGATCCAGGAATGTCACACAGCCGAACAGCTTTGCCGCTGTACCTGGGTGAAGCAGGCGATCTCGACGTGCCGTTCGGATGAAATCCTGAATCTTATCTTGCAGCCTAGATCTAATCCAAAGCTGGATCCGGCCAACTGAATGGGCTGTCGACAAGTCGTGGATCATCCCCAGGAAATCCCCTTGGAAAGAGGGGGCTTGCCTCTTGTCGGCTGCAAAGGGAAAACCTAGGTGTTCCAACGCCTGCCCCATGACATGCTGTGCATGAACGGCTGTGGGCTCCCAGTCCTGCAGCGTAGAGTCATCGTAGTAAAAGCTGGCCATCAGTCCTAGCATGCGACGCAACAATGCTTGACAAAAGAATGGCAGTCTATTAAAGGCTGTGACTGCTAGAGGTAGCCCGAAGAGCATCGAGTGGTACTGGCGGAAGACCGGTCGACCTTGGGCAGATTGATACACTACGACGCAGGCACGGCTGTGCTCTTCCAACATGGGAATTTTGCGGTATGCATCTGGGAGATCTTTTTGACAGGAAACCGCTGGCAGTGGCAACTTCTCCATGCCTTGATAAGCACAGGCTTGTGCCAAGGCTTGAATGTGTGCGCAAGGCTGCAAGGCACTGCAAAACTGAAGCCGGTTAGCGCGACTCCAAAAACTCTGCCCCCCACTTGCTGCGTCATCAATGACTCGCTTCTTACCAGAAGCTTGCGTGATGACGAATCGCCGCAGCAGCCTGTACTCGGGAAAACGCCTTTGCAGTTCCTCCCAGCCAAACTCCTCAGTACACCAGTTGTTGCGCTCATCTTTGAGTCCAGATCGTGGACTACCTCCAACTCCTTGTCGGACAACCCGGCGATGAGAGCTGGGGCTTCTGAAGGACCCTCGCACAGCACATCCTGCAAAGATGCAAACTCAGCAGCTTGGGATGCCCAAATGCCACAAGGTGGGAGATAGCCAACTGCTGGGAACCCGCTGTGCAATCCGGCACAAAACGATGTGTCCGGCCACTGCATCATGGCGATGAGAAGCGCAATAACAGCGAAGTGTACTTTGGGATTCACAGCCGCTAGAACTGAAGTCTGACTGGCGCGAATGTAACGTGTGACTCCTTCCAAGCGAGCACAAAGTCCTAGAAAACAATCCAGAGCGTATTGCCGAAAACCGGTAACTTCTTGCCCGAGATCAGCCATCAGGTTGGCTACGTAAGCGATGTCCACATCGACTGGCGATGGAAAGTCCAAGGGCCCTCCCTCGATCTGCACCCGCAGCGCTGCTGCAAAGTGATCCTCAGGCGTCAGATTGTAGGGGACAACTGGCGGTGCTGCTGTCCGCCTTGCCCCTGCTCCTGCTTGCTCAGCCATGCCTGCTCGGAAGGCAACCACACCTGCGGTGGGGAGCATTGTGGGGCCAATGGGACCGTCGGCGGCATAGTTACCTTCATGAGCCCATTGGTGGAAGGAAAGAAAGGCTGGACAGTTAGTTCATCAGGTCCTCTAACAATGGCCATTTGACTCCTTGGAAATCCAACATAGGGAACTGACTCTTGAGACATGGCAGACGCTTGACTGAAAGCTTGGGGAACCGCTCGCACCAGTCGGATCCCTGCTAGCATAATCGCTCTAGAGGGACCTGCGTGACTCCCGTGGCCGTTGCGGCCGATCGAACCACTTCGCAATGATAACATCCACGTGACAAAATGAGTTGGCTGAACAGTCACAGACTATGGTCTTGCCAGTGAGCTCATCAAGCGCTCCGTCAAGCTGCAACCTATCCCAATTCATAATGTACTTGAATATGGTGTCAACATGAGTCCCATCTCGCCCTTCCACAAATGGGTTCTTCCACAGTAGGACTGAGCCGGTGACGAAAGTGCCAGTGGCCAGCGTATACCGCTCCTGACTGGTGCCCGGTGTTCTGCTCGAAGAAGTCGGAGACATGACCTCGCACTGGCATACCGGGGGCACTAGATGGTTTGAGTCCTAGCGAGATGGCCATCGGGACCATGGCGTCCTGCCGAAAGGTGGAGGCCCCCCAGGCCGTCCAATGCCTACGATCACCTGAGCATTCAACAGGGGGCAAACGGGGGATCTTGATGATTGCATATCCTTGGTTGGCTGCCCAAAATGTGCATGCAACAGCGAGGGTGAAAACGAGGGCAGCAGGATACTCTGCCTCTTCGGCGCTGGGGTACTTATAGTCCTTCCCTCCAAACTGTATGGTCGCCAATCGTCTTCGTTGTGCGTGTGGGCGCACACCAAACTGGGTAATGACCTCAGCTCGGGAATGTTGTGACGAATGGTTGGGCTTTCTTCCTGGCAGCTAGAAAGCAACAGTTATCGTAAAAATCGGACCAACATCCATCTTGGTGCATATGAACTTCCACTGGGTCAACCCGTGAAGACTCCTCCTGGGATTCTCCCGAAAAGTTCTCCCCGCTCATGCAGGTTGATCACATGTTGGTCCACCCGGTCCTTGCTGGCACCTGTCAAGGTGGGTAGTCCCCGAGGAAACTTCTCGGTCGCAAAGGCTTCGGAGCGTTCGTTCCTGGCAGCTTGATTTCACGAATTTGACTCTTGGTGGAAAAATCGATGGCAGCACTCACAAGGTGGCACTGAGGCAGTACTGCATTGATGGCTTTCTGTACAGAAGGCTTGACTAAATCAAATTCACGGTCAATGAGAATGTCGATGGGTTGAACAATTTTCCAACCAGCCCACTCAAACGCCTGCGCTAACGGGAAATGCGGTCCGGACAGCAAATCCAAAAAGACAGGGACCTGGGGCTGATCATCATCCATTGTCTCAACCTGAGACCATCCATTCTGGATAGCGGCAACATGCTGATGGAATTCTTCCAAAGCGCCTGAGGTGCTGGAAGGGTCCGGATTCTCCGGTTGTGAAACTATAGTTTCCCCCCCCTCAGAGCTTCTGCTTGTTGTTGCACCTGCTCCCTTGGTGATACGGATCACCGCAGATGCGCCCGCTCTTCAGCTAGTGTGCACAACGGTGCTCACCATTCGGGCACCGAGCATCACGTTGCCGATCACAGCGCCCATGCTGCCACGGACCACATAGCCGCGTTCCATCGCGGAAAGTGGTCGAAGTCTTCCTGTCCCCTCCTTGGGCAGCTGGCGGAGTGCCTGCCGGCTCAGGCGGCGGCCACTGGCCGATGATCCCTGAGGGTAAATGGTCACCGCTGACCAACGCACATCCCTCTCCATGGAGATGCGATAAACAATCGCTCCAAGCTTCTCCGTGCCGGTGGAATACTTTTGGCGCCAAGCAGCTCACCAATCTTCTTGCTGGCCTCCACGGCCCGAAAATGGTACTTCCAGGCCAGGTCCAATGGGAACTCAACATATAATCGTGAGAAAGAGTGGCGAGCGACTCTGCCTCGGTCGGCGCTGGGAGAATGGGGCCGGCCCCTGCCATCGCCAACGCGACCATGTAGACGAACAGGCACCAGGTAGGATGCACAACCCTCCTGCACAGCCTGCTCCTCGTCGGCGGCTTCACCATGGGCGCAACCGTCCGTCGCTTGGAGGTAGCGACTCGCTGATTGGCCAAGGTCCGTACCTGGAACATGTTCATCACCTCCAGGTTCTTCTTCTGCAGCGCTCGGCCCAACTTGCTCAGCAAAGCTTGTCACTAGGCTGCTGTTCGGGAGGCGGCAACCAATGGTAACGCTTCCAAAACACCTCCTTCATGGAGGAAAGGGCGCTGGCTGGAAGACACTCATCCTCCTCAAGTGGAACACCCTCCACTTGGCTCGCATCACGAGCCTTCTCGGCCTGCACAATCGATGACCAGGCGCGCTTCACACGCGCAGCTTGCAGCCGCGGCTTGTCCAGCCCGGTAATCGGGGTGACGGAAGTCTTCACAACATCTTCTTCATTGGAACAGTAAAGGCGAAACTCGGAAAGTGACATCACACCGGACTCAAGAATCTCCTTTGCGATGGCTTCATCGTAGTCGAACCTATCCTGGAGCTCCTTGAAAACAGCTTCAGGAGTCGACATGGCTGGCGCTAAAAGCAATTGGGACACTGCAGATAGCTTGACACAAAGAAGGCTGAAAAACAAGGAGAGCAGCTCAACTGAATCAAAAACCGAAAAGTTGACATCCATTACAAACTGACATCTCTCAGGACTTTCAATCTGTGAATGGCATTCAGCCAACGCCGCGGACCCTTCCGGCCTGATGTGGCTTCTCCACCAGACTTTTCATACTCCTGGCGAAACTCACCAAGGGCGGTCCCAGTATCCCAGGACCTCAGGGGCCTCATACCCTGTGAACTGCCCCTGCACTATGCCGGAATCTACCCTACCTATAGGTACTCAGCCAGTTCATCGAGCAGCTCGACTTCCGGTAGTGCGGCAAAAAGGCTACCGCAAGCCTCCACGGCGCCCCCCAGCGCTGCTTGAAATTGCAACCCTGACATCGCGTCCAGGTTCAAGGCCCAAGCAACCAAGTACTGCTGGCAGTTGGCTGCCTCACGTTGGCAGTTGGTGACCTCCACCAACAAAGCACCGGGGTCAGGAAGCGGGGGTGGCGCATCGTGAACCAAATGCCGCCCAACTGAGAACCCATTCAGCATCTCCCACATGATACCCTTCAGCTCGGAAAGGAAAACCATCCACGAAGGTCCCAACCGGTGGACTTCAACTGGAAACGAATCGACAAACTCGTGCAGTAGGCTGATCTGGCCAAACATAATCCACAAGGGTGGGGGAAAAGGTGCTTCACGAATGGGGTACTGCAGCAACAGCAGCCGCTGGATCGACATGGCAGTAGGGCTGGCCATCTTGAACGCTGAAAGCTAAACACAGATGCTCTCAGACAAGACAACATAACGGCCACAGCGGGGGTCTCACGGTCCGGACATCAGAACTCGCACCTATTTTCCTCGGGCGACGGGACGGTCAGCGGGGCGTGCGCCAGGCGACAGCTGACTCTTCCAAAATACCGAGTGCTCCTGCTGGCATGAATTGTGCGCAATTGCGGCAAAAGGACCTCTCGTGCACTAATGCCTCTTGCACAGAGTCCGCAAAGCAGACATTGCTCTTAAAGAATGTCTCCCGTTTCTTCCACTGACAAACGGGCTTGGGCGTATCTGAGTTGAAATCGACGGGCACCACGCGCCACAAGGACGTCGGCCTCAGCTGAAATGAACCTCAGCGGAATCTCCGCGAAGTTCTCGGGCAAGGTCTCACCTTCGGCACGATCATGCACCCACTTGGTGAACTTCCTGTAGCGATCGCCCAACATCTTGTGGGGCTCAATGGCCCTGACGGAAGCCAAATGCTTCATGGACTCATCCAACAACTGCCCCTTCAGGGCGCTGAGGATCATCCCTGTTCCCACCGGTGCTCGGTGTACACCGGCCATACAATGGATGTAGATTGAACCTCCATGTTCCAGGGTTGGCCTCACCAGTGGCTTGAGCTGAGTCCACTGCTGGTTGTGAATCCTCTCATCGGACACAGCAAACTGGCGAATCAAGCAGCCAGAGGGAAACTTTGCCCCTTTCGTCACTGCTGCCTGTTTGAAGCAGGTGACAACCAACTGAACATTATGGTTCTTCAACACCTCACATGCTGCATCATCCGGGATTCCCCCAAGCAGAATAAAGGGGCCGCTCCCAGACCCGTTGCGCCGGTAGACCACAGTCGGTGGCTCAGGGCAATCTCGATGGTCAGGCCTCCTCCATCTTTTGGCAGCGAGTTCATCGAACGCATCGTCGCCTGGCTCCAGCACCGGCTCCTCGACTGGGAGGAATGGAAGCTCTTCTGCCTCCTCTTCAGCGACATCCATGTCGTCAGGCGGTGGACTCCCCACAGCGACACCGGCGCTTTCTGCGTCAGCGGGCGGGTTCTCCACAGCCTGGACTTCTCGCTGTTTCTTCGACAGCTGCTGCATGGCCTTGAAGCCTCGACCTCGAATCGCGAAAAATCTTTGCGTCAACGAATTCGCCTTCTGAAAGTGAATCTCATCCGCCTGCGAGGCTGTGAAAAAGACTACCTCCTTTACCTGCAGGACAGTGGAAGGTCATCCCACTTGAGAACCTTCTCGGACAGCTGGGTGAGGGACACCATGGCAAACATGAAAGCATGCTTTGCCTGCAGCGCCAAGAACTACTGCTTGGCTCCAGTGTAGCGCAACGGCATGTGGCTGTGTTGGGCATCAGCCGGCTTGTCCACCCCACAGTAGTGGCTGGGGGAACCTCAGCCAACATGGCCCTGGAGAGCTCATCATCAGGGACCACCCCCCGAATCGCCAGGCGCACCGTGTTCAAAATGGACTTCGCGCGCAGGTACACAACACATCGCTGCCCACAGGAATCCATGCCGCTGCCCCTTCTGTTTGCCTCTCGGGCACAAAAAGTAAACAGAGTGGCGGTTTTGATTCAGCACTTTCGAGCGTTGCACATGCTCGAGCCGAAGGCAGCCAAAGACCTGAAGATAGGTCACCACCAGGGCCGGCGCAGCTGCAGTGTCGTTCTGAGTGGCATGTGCAACTGCTTCCAATAGGGCCCACAGCATAGCTGGCTCAGCAGTGGGCGCTTGCCTAGCACCAACACCATGTCTCCCCTTCGCCACCGTGGAGCGCCCCACGCACAGCGAAAGGTCCCATGGCAGTTGTTGCGCATCCATTGCATGGCTGGGAGGACACGGGAAGGAGCTTTCGACTCCTGGTAAAATCGGCTCAGCTGGCTGGCGGAAACATACCGCATGTTGTTGATACCGGGGGATTCGCCCCAGTTGGCCAACTCGGCCCAGGTAGCCACCACTCGTTTCAGAGTGGGAACCTCAGTCTGTTCCAACAACGACGTAAGCATGGGCTGCATGGCCTGATAACATCATCTTGCGTCTCAGCTTGAACCAACTGGCATTCACCGCAATCTCCTGTAACGACTGGCGGAACGGCTCCTTCGGAGATGGTGGTTTCTCCACCTGCCGCACAACACGCGGTGCTGAACTCGGCTTCACCTTAATAGATGGTGCAGGTTGCCGAACCTGAGGGGCCGGCGGGCTTGGCTTCTCCTCGCGAGCCAACATGGCTTGGACCACCTTGTCCACTCCGCCATGGGCCTGCTGCAGAGCATGTTGCCATGCAGTGGCAATGAGGTCACCCACCTCCTGCTTGGCCTCTTCTTCAAACGAACTGAAGAAAAAGACAAAATCACCATCATCATTGACTCCATTTATCTCACGCCAAACCTGCACCACTGGAAGGTCATCCATGATCAAATCACAAAAGCTGAGCAGAGAGGTTCTCTCTTAGAGTTTCACTCCACAAAGCTATTTTGGCTAAAGCTAGCCTTGAGCCAAAATGTAACCATTACCATGTGCTGCATGAATAGCCTACACCAAGCCTGCCCCAAGCACTATAGGCACCTATATATATTTCTGGAAATTTATATGCATGCTACTGCAGCACCCTCAAATGTCCAACAGTGCAAGAACGAAACCCTATGAAACCTATCCTGATTGCGGACACAACTTTGTAGAGAAAACCAACAACCAGTTGAAAGTCCTGCAAGGATTACAAAGAGTCGCAAAGAAGAAGTGGCCCTCATTTGGGCCATTCCTGGACACAGTCCGAGCAATCCTGGCCAATTTTTTGCACAGCCTTCCTCAAGAAGAGATTCACTTACTTTGGAGACCAGATTCGCAGATCCAAGTTATTTAGTGCGCCCAATGTATGCAAGGACAGACCTTCTAGACTCTATACCTTCTTGGCCAGGCTCTCAATCCAGGCCGACATCCTATTGGAAGGACGTAGCCTCACTTGCGCACGCAGGATTCGCTCAGCTGCGCACGCAGCATTTCATGATACATTTAACGCACCTGCGCACACAGGGTTCGCTCAGCTGCGCACACATCGATTACATTCTTCTTTAAACAGTGCACGTTACCTCAAACTCAGCTGCGCACACAGATTTCGCTCACCTGCGCACACACAAATTGAGTTGCTGTGATGTGTACACGATATGTCATTCTTTCATGATATGTCGTTGGGTCAGGTCTCCACCGACACGCTCGTGTCAACAACGCCCCTCTGGACATTCATCTACATGATGATCTCTTTCTGCTCATTGCTTCGACAGTACCAGCCCCGCTAATTTTATCGTAAGCATCTTTTACCAACCTTTTGTCAATTTGGTCTAACCATGTCTGCGTCCAAAAGTTTCCAGGTGGCAAGTCTGGAGGGCTGTTGGCTAACGATGAAACAAAAACACTGCCTGCTGCGCCTGCGCTCCCCAAGGTATGGCACTCATGCAGCCACCACAACTGAAGACCCCGTCGGGGCCACAGCCTGACAAGGGACACAGAAACAGAATTCTAGGGTTGAACGCTGTACGCTGCTGGGACACGCATATTTGCCTTTGCGGAGTGGAAGCGTCATTGACAGCGGCATTAGCCCAATCGGTGAATGAAAGACGCGCAAAACTGCGACAATTCTACTGGTTCATAGAACAGCCCATCTGCATCTTGATAATATGCTGGACCGACTCTGGACAGCTACATCACCCCGTTTGCACCATGCCTTGACAGCCAAAAGCACCCGCGGCTTGCGCTTGAGCCGCTGCCTGGACCTGCGCAACCTGGGCAGCCTGGGCAGCTTGGGCCATGGCCAATGGCAAAGCCTGTTGCTGCCACGCCTGGGCTGCCTGGGCAGCCTGGGCGCATGAGAATTCGAGGACAAAGTGTTCACGTCCAGGCTGGTGAAACATGAGGTTTGACCAATATGAAGGTAAGGAAGAAGAGGATTAAAATAAGTCAGTGATTTATATAGGAGGAGTAAAGTAAAGTTGAGAATGAAGATGACGAGGAGTAGGATGGATACGAGTTGTCGTATCTTTTTTGCGCAGTCCAGGGCCCAATTTCATGTTTGTCAAGGCTCCACCATCAGCCCATGTCCAGGAAGCTGCCGCATGATCTCGGCTTGAAGCCTTGCAGATTCGGCTGCGGCCTGAAGTGAAGAAGTGCCCCCAACAACGGCAACCAAGGCAACCTTGAGAATGTTAACAGGCGCGGCTACTGTGGAATATTTCCACCAAATACAAAACATATTTGCTATAGCTCGACATGAAGAATCTGCAAAAACGTTTTGTAGGCCAAAACCTTTGTAGATTTGTCCCCGCATCTCTACGTGGGGTTCTTACTTTTAACTCCGCCCATACCTCGGCTCACTCACTCACTAACTCGTTCACTCGCTCGCTCCCTCACTCCCTCCCTCGCTCACTCCTTCCCGCGGTCCCTCCCTCGTAAACCATTCTCCGGGCTCCAGAAGTATGGTGGTGAGGGGCTGTAATGGTTGCAATTGTTATGGTGATTTTCTCCTTGTATTGTCAGCGCTGTGGTTTTATTTTTTCTTTTGTCCGTGTTGGTTCAAAGCAGCGGCTCAGCGGATGATGGGAAAGGTTGCCCTTATATGCTTTGCGGCGGTGGGAAGTTCTATGGGCCTGCCATGGCTGCGACTGTTGTAGTTATAGTTGTCTTCTCCTTGTTTGTCATTGCGCGTTGTTACCTGGTGGAAAGTTGCGTGAGATTGCAACGGCTATGATTGTAAAAAAATCTGTTCTCCTTGTATGCTGTTCGGGGCTGTTCTAACTTTTCTTTTGTTCGTTGATGCCCCTGCGCGCGCGCCATAAGTTCTGGCGTGCGCTGCAGCATAAAGGCTAATATGTGGTTTTGGGCGGCTACTCCCATCAAATCTGGCACGCGTTCTTACGGGATTGTTGCGGTCAAAGGTTGTACTATCTGTGTAGAGCACCTTACTGATGGTCAGATGGTTTCCAAGTTTTGCATGTATAAATGTATGGTATCCAAGCAAGGATCTTTTCCAAACAAATATATCTACACTTACACCGTCTATACCCTAGAAGTCACGGGATCCACGGGGCCGACACAACGTGGACTGAACTTCCGAACTTCCCGGTCTCCATCAACACGGGCCCCACGGGCTCCATGGGCCCCACGCACCCCACGCGACGGGCTCGACTGGCTCCACAGGCCCTGGGCTCCACAGGCCCGCGCCCCACCCCACGCGCCCCACACGGCTGCATTTCACCCTATACTAACGCCCCCGCATAATCCACGGGCAACAGGCCACATCATTTCGCCAGCCTCTTCACCCCACCATACCCGCACCTCCACAGTTTGAGCGCCAACACCAGTAATGGCTTCTACAGCAAGTGAGACCTGCTCGGCCTTGACCTCACCAGCAATGGCACGCAGCAGCAGCAGCAGCAGCAGCAGCAGCAGCTCAGGGTCAAAGGCTGCAGCAAGATCATGCATGGGTAGCAATTCAAACGGATTCCAACGGCTCCAGAAAATTCAACAATTCCAGTTGCCAGGTGCCCAGCAAGCTCAAGCCGTCCAGCAAGCTCAAACCCAACCAGTCCAAGCACCAAGCTCTTCGCAACAAGGTGCACTACAGGAACTACAGGGCTACGTAGATATAATAAAAGGACACATGTACACTCAGGAGGCTGCTGCGCTGAGGACGTTGGGGGGCACCAGGGCGTGCATAAATGTATGTTGCGGGTATTCTGAAGAAAGATGCACAAGCAAAACGTGGAGCGCAACACAACCAGCACCATTACCCTCCATTGCTTCCCGGACTTGAAAACCAAAGCAAATGACTTCACCACTGCTCCACCAACCAGCCTTTGCAGCTTCTGCTTCACGTTGCGCCTTGTCCTGACGCCAAAGCTGGCAAAGCTTGCCCCGGCAATGCAGAACCATCATGAGTCATGAGCGACAAAACTTGTCACAGGTCTACCCCTCACCAACCTCTAATTACTTCATGTCTTTCGTGTTCCCTTGCCAGGCAACCTGTTGCTTTTTACGTTTTATGTGTATACGTGTACATGTATAATATGTGTATATGCATATATGTACAGTTGTATGTGTATATGTACTGTGTGTACAGTATATATACACATATATATATATATACACAACATATATACATATGTTGGCGGTCAGGCTTGGGTCTGGGTAACCCTTCACCACCTGCTGGTAGCTAGGCGATGTTGGGCCGTGATCTTTGGAGCTGCTTGAGACAGGCCCCGGAGGGAGACCGATTCGTCTTGCTGAAAGACTCCTTTGAGGTGGAGGCGCCATTCATGTTGCTTGCAACGGCGCGACATGTAGATGCAGGCGATCGGCCTACAACTGCCAAGATACGCATCTGTCTTGTTCTTGAGCAAAAGTACAGGTGAGCCAGTGGACATGTACAAGCGCCAAACTGTAAACCCACACGCCCCGCTGAGCGAATGCCCAAGAGGAGCGAAACTACGCACGTTGCGCGCGTGAATGAGGGAAGTTGTGGAGTAAGACAACCGGTCCCCCGGCGCGATCGAAAACAACCACCGCATACGCGCCGCCTTGACATACAGGGCGCATAGACCTCAAGGGACAATGAAATGCGATCGTTTCACAACATGTCTGGTTCACGTTGACTCTAACACGCAACCAAATTATACGCGAAGCTGCGATTCATTTAATGCAAAGGAACACAGTTGAATGCAATGGCACACCCTTGAGAAACCTTGAGGGAATGAATTGGAACCTCTACACACGTGGCGTGACTCGGCATGACAAAGTCGCAAACGATCGTACGCTACGCACGAGCGCAGAAGTACTTTGACCAAAAACAAATGACATTAAAATATGGAAGGTCGCAAGGCCGCGGGCGGTGCGATGGTAAGCTTTCTCCACACAGGCCGCATAGGTTGAGAGCAAAAGCCGGCGCTCGCGTTGGTTTTTTGCTCCACAGGCAGCGGCTACTGCCGCGCGAAGGATCTCACCACAATTGCGAGAATTGGGTGAATCGGAGTTGTCGCCACCATTGCGATGACTGGAATATAGGCAGACGGTTCTTGTTTTCGTGCATTCTCTGGTAGTAAATTTTGCATAAACGACGCGAAATGGAAGCTACTAATACGGGGTCGGTTGTACCCCCAAGCGGCTCAATGCCTCAGGCGACCATCGCTTGACGGGTGTAGTCACGAGGCAGTCCAAAAGATTGGCCATCACAAAAGCAAACGCAGCGTAGCGACCTACCTCCCTACATTGCCAAAGATCAGCCCGCTTCAAACGAGAATGCTTCGTAGCCGGTTTGGCCTGCTAGTCGGTGGAGGACAAGGACATTGGACGCCGGTTTCCATGAACATCATTCCCCCCGCGTAAAGAGATGACAACGACTGCTGGTGTCTCTTTCAGCCCTGCCCCCCACCCATCGCATACGGGACCTTCCCACAACGTTCACCTAAGAACCGAAAGTGGCAGGGAGCATGGACTGACGGCGGCAAAAAGAATTAACGTGACCTCCACGACCAAAGCCCGCTGAGAGACGAGAAGACTCGTCTAGATTGAGAGCATCATCATCTTCAGCGACCCTAAACGCCTTGCACCCTTGGACCCTGCGTCCATCCCGGAGGGACGGATGCACCACTCCCAGCCAGCGTCCACGTTGGGCACACCATCCTTTTATTGAGCGACAGTGATGCACTGAGATGACAAGAGCTTATGTTCGACTGGACCGTCTCCGGGTTCGTTGGGGTCAAACAATGAGTTTCTGGTTTTGACACGCCTTATATGCCTTCTAACATCCTGGCCGCGCAAACGGATCGACTTACCAACGGTTTTGTTTTGGCGCTACCCTTTTCACAATTGCGCGTTCAATAACCTTGCCGTCGTGGACCTTCTCACGACAAGAGACTCTTGAGCGTCAGGGGTGTCACGAATCTCCCTTTGGCCAACAGGCCCTGCCACGAGGGCAGATAACCACGCCATCGCCCGAAATTCCTTTGTCGCAGTTTCGATTCCGGCTGGACGGGCGTAGCACACCACTCTTGAAGCGGCGAAGCTTGCCTTCAATGCTGCCTTGCAGTTCTTCTTTTCAGCAAGGAGCTTGCATCAAAATGGTGTTCAACAGGATGATCCCTGATACCCTCATCAATGAGATCTTCAACATCGGAGTTTGGCGAACCGGAATTTGGGATGTCTGGGTAAAGCACTTCACGAATCACGCTGTCTCTTCCTCACGCAAGCCAATACCCGGAACAGCAATTCAATCATGCATTGGTTGGATCTCCGCAGCAATGTCGGATTCCATTACGCCCTTTGACAGCAACACCACAAACTCCTGTCTCCAAAAAATGTTTTTAAACAACGCCAGGCTGAAGTGCATCAATTAGCTTAAGCACACACCAGAATGGGAAGTTTGCTCCAAACAGAAGTGAGCTTTTCTCCTCGCTCTTGGGACCCGTCCAATAATCAACCCTGCGCATGTGCGCCGCGCGGCATGTGACCAGTTTTGATGATGAAGACCAGCCTGCTCAAGATTGTCACGCGTACCGTCAATCACCGATCGGATAGACCTTTCAGCTACAGCGTTGGCCTTTGATACAAAAGCTAGTCTGGCGTCTCCACGACAAGCGCTCGGCCGCGGCGACCAGCCCCGGCAAATTGTTGTCTGAGTAGAACACTCCTACTTCGTCGGTGCGCTTAAACTGTCCGATACATTCACAGTCGAGTGCCGGGCAGCAGGGTAGACTTAGACATCGGAAGGCTGTTTCAACATCCTTTACAACCAATCACGCTACCCTCAATATCCATCTCTTCATCGTCACGGGGTGGTCTGCAGTCAAGCGCTGCCCAAAAACAATTGCTTCAACTTGTGAAGAGAATCCACCACCCCTTCTATATGAAGGTTTTCTTGGCCAACTTTGCACGAGAACATGCTTGACAGCAAAGGTTCTTTGCGCTTGCGTGACCAGATGTTGGGTCAAAGGGGGCGTTTGCCCCGACGGCAAGCAAACGTTTCCGACCAGCGAACAAGGTTTTCTGAGGGGGTTGGGGACAGTTTCGTGTTACTCGTTGCGCAAAACCAAACAGGCTTTTCTGGACCTGTGGTTCAGCCAAATCCAGGGTTGGGCTCAATGCTAGGGGCTGTGAGAAGTGAGAATACACAGAGAGGCTACACAAGACACTTGTCCGCCAGCTCAAATGTACAGTGAGCTGTCATGGCTCAATTGGCAAAAAAGACGACTGAAGTCGCTCCGCAAAAGGTTCCTTGAGTTGCAGATCATCGACCAGGTGGGAGGACGGGAAAAACTCCAGGATTTGACTGAGTGGTCTTTGAACGGTCTTCAAAAGGCGCTCAACTTATCGTCTTGGAGTTCACTAACTCCAAAACGATAAGTTGAATGTCCCAAGTCCCGAGTCCCAAAACCCCCAAAACCCTAAAAAAATGCATGGTTTTCTGGCCCTCCGCATGTTGCAGTCGGGGCAAGCTCCCCCCGTTTACCCAAGATGTTGAATCGACTGCGTGCTTGACAGCCAGATGCAAGTAGGCTTCCACGTTGTTCTCGGGCTCCTCCTTGATGCCAGCGAGATCCGAGTCCCACCTGTCTGCGAAACCTTTCAAGTCATATGCACAATCTTCACTGGCATCAAGTCTTCCAACCCATAGGTTGCTCCACGCTTGGCGCTGGTAGCGAAATACGCATGGAGGCAAAGCAAAAGTTGTCTTCCTCACAGGTCTGTTTTCGCAAGCTAGTAGTTGTTTGAAAGTTGCTATCTGACAACCAAGACCCCCTCAGCGCAATTGGTCAAACTGGCCAAAAACTTCGCATCAAGAGTTGAGAAGCCTTCAGATTCAAAGTCTTCAAGCGCGTCAACAGTTTGGTTGTCGATATAAACCTTGCCAACCCAAGTCCAAGTCCTGCAGGTTTTGCAGATGTGGCTGAGATGTTCTATCGAGCCTTAATCTTCCAATATCTCTATGCTTCTATACTGAAACTTGGGAGTTCTTCAGTGCCTTCCTGGTATCCCTGGGAAGACATCCTGATGAGCTGCTTGAGTCTTCTGAAACTCTATCGGACGAGAACAACTGGGAAGAGGTGGTGGAGGCGAGGCTTCCTTCTTTCGCTCCATAGCTAGCCCGTCTTCCTCCTTAGACTTTCGGCCTTCGCGATATTATCTTCACTCCTTCACTGCCGTCACCATCAGGGTCATGACCTCCACCACCACACCTTGCGATCGGCGGCCGCTGGAGAAGCTGCAGTTCCAAGAGGATGGGCTCTCGGTTCCCCGAGGCGACTTCGAACTTATCCCTTAGCCCCTGGATGGTTCAAGTTCCGACCAAAGATGCGCCCGTTCACTTTCCATTGCAGAATGTCTTTCAAGCGTCATTGCACGCACTAAGTAGTTCTGCTGGTCTCCGGTCTTGATGATGTTTTGCCTTGGTAAGGGCATTCACGTCACTCAATGTTTGTTCGGCAAGAGCTGCTTGGTCCCAAAAGCATTGGTACAAGTCCGCGAACTGACGAGCCTCTCTCTCTCTCTCTCTTTCTCGGTTCCTTTGGGTCTGCGACAGCGATGCCGACGATGCCCCCCAGAGTGTCCAGCATCACGGCCAACAAGGCTTGGCCAAAAGTGGGAGCTACAACCATGGCACTCGCGGGTCACTACTGCTAGCTGCTAGCGCCAACGTGAAATTTTTGCTGCCCTTCTGGCGTGTGATGGATGCGGTTTGCCACAGATCCACTGCTCAGCCTTCAAGGCCAACAAAGCATCTTCAGCCAGCAGTGCCTCCACTTGACATAGCTGTGCCACATTTGCCACTCATGCCCTTCTGCCGGGGGCGATGCACCAGTCACGTCATCCAAAATGCTTTGGAGCGTGACTTCAGGTTCACCTGGACAGCGAGCAGTCCTTCCGGTTGGTGGCTGGCCCGCCTCACAGCACACACTTGCAACCTGCCCCGTTCCTGGCCCCGGTTGTGCCACAGATCAGCAATTGCCTCGGCCTTGCCCTTCTTCTGCAATGTCTGCCACACACCTTGATGGGGAAGGTTGGGCTTGATGGCCTTCAACGCAATCCAACACCCCGTGGCCCACGCACGAACTTCAGTGGCTTGACCCGCGCGCGCACAAGTGCAGGAGCCGTTTGCTCCTTAGTCCACTGGCGCACCAGAACCGCCACTGCATAGTTGCGGGCTGTTGCATCATTGCATGTGGGCTTCAGCCTTGTTGGGGCTGATGCAGCATTCCGCATCAAAGGCCAACCATCACTCAGGAGACCATCGCACCTGAAAGAGTCACCGCTGTCTGGTGTCGGCACTCGTGGCAGCCCCTATAGACGTGCCGGCCCCAATCTGCATAGCCCACTCCCTTGGGACACCCCCATCTTTGCCCTCAAAGAACTTGTATCTCCGGATGAGGTGAACTGCAGTCAGCGGCTCCAAGCACAAGAAGCATTGCACTTGATGACCGTGTGCATGGGCGTGGAGGGATCCTTGCGTCCAGGCCTTCATGGCTGCTTGTTCACTACCGGCCATGGTCTTCAGACATCTTTTGTAGTCGACGAACCCAGAGATCTCTGCAAAAAAGAGCTGCTGGCTGATTCGATCAACCCGTTGAAGACCCATCTCTTTCTTCCATGCTCTTGCTAGAACTGGCCAGGCGTGCTCGGGTGCTGGGACGGGTCCATTCAAACAGGTCCAATTCCACCGCAGGTCGTTGAAGACAGGAAGCATGCTTGCAAAGCAGCCATCGGCCCACCACCTGCCAATGGTGCACCGAAGCTCATGAGACTGATTTGCTGGCCATGCCGCCATCAGCTTCTCCACTGCAGTGTGCCAAGGGTCCTGCAGATCTGGACACTGATCAAACAGGCACCACCTTTTTGAAGGCCTCCACAACGGGCCAGCTGTAAGCGAAGCTCCTTGGGTCGCTGAGGTGCCAACCGCGTGCCACATTGCCCCAGGCCACTGCCCTGTGCACTATCTATCTATCTATCTACAGTATATCTCTCTCTCTCTCTCTCGCGCGCGCAGGCGCATCCTGTTCAGAAAAAAACACGCGTCTGCCTACTTCGCTGCACATGCCAGTGCAAAAATGTAGCCAGCATGATACAGTACATGTCACAAGCCTTCTCTTCACCTTCACGCTTCTTTCTGTCCTCGCAACACATCAAACAAAGCCCAATATTACCCAGACCCACTTGGTCTTGGGACATGCAAAGGTGACCCTTTTCATAACAAATCAAGCGCCCATCAAAGTCATTCAGAAGACCTCGGCTTCTTTTGCTTGTCTTTTCTTCGATTCCTCCGCCTGCACACTTGGACTGGCTCAAAAGAATTGTTCGGCTTCTGCACGGCAGCCGCACAGGTGATGACAACCTCACGTCGACATGCCTCTTCAATTTTCTTCTTCTTCTCCTTCTCTTGCCGCTTCTTCTCCCTCTTTGCCTCTCGTTCTCGCTCACGCTCCTGGCATCTCTCTACAGAATCCTATTTCCTTAATGACTGAGTGCGGCAGTTGCCAGCTTGGGCATGCGTCCTCATCAAAGGCACCCAAGTATAGTGCGACAACCAACTTGCAGCATGTTCAACCAACGTGCCCAGTCTTAGCCCAGTCGTCCACCAAGGGGTCAGAGTGGACATTCAATGGAACCATCCATTTGCCAAAACGATTCACATTCCTCCACGACTGAGTGTGCTTCAACCTGGCGTTGGGGGCGTTGCCACCTCCCAAGGAGAAGTTCAGGGTTGTTTGAGAAACGGAGGGTAAGGTCCAAAAACGAGTCAAAAGGTTGCACAGCTCCTCTTCCTCTTTGGCTTCTCTTTCTCTTCTTTCTCTCAGCCTTTTGGCTAAGTTGCACTACCAACCTACTGTATCTAATCGACTGCGGTCTTGAAGATGAAAGGTCAACTCCCAGTGCATAAGCAACAAAGGCACTTGTTATATATATATATATGTAGGCAGCTAAATAGGCCCATAGGCAGGGCTTCAGAAGAAATGAGGAGCAACAAACTATGCAAAACAAAATGTATCAACATGTAGTGAACAGTGAACGAATTTTGATAAGAGGCCCGCACAAGACATAGTTTTGTTGCAGGCCTATTTTCATGGACATTTTCGTTCTGACACCGACACCCTGCTGGAATAGTGGTAGACGTGCTTTTGGCCGATTGCGACAACGCGTGTTGGACGCATGCAACGGGTGGCAGAAAGCTGCAGCCGCTGTTTTGCAAAAACATTTTGCTGACGGTTGGCCTCTTCAGCTTCTGCAAACATAATTACCGTAGATTTATATAAAAACGGAATCCGTATTTATTGACATAATTTCCACCAAACATGGTCAGTTTGCATGATATACGTCGACACACAGCCGAAATCAGCCGAATACAACTGACCTTTGAACCTGAGTTTCTAGCTGCTGTCGCCACTCTTCCTCCTCCCGTAGTTTCTGCTGTTCTGCCTGCAAAATCATTTGTTCTCATGAAGCGAGGCATGGTTGAAACTAGAGTTCCAGTAGTCAAGGTGATAGTGATAGCTTAACAACTCAAAGGTTTACCAAGCAAGCGAATCAAGTTGGTGCGGTTGACGCCTCACGCTTTCGCTTTTCAAAGGCTTCTTGAACCTGATAAGAATCAAAACAGGAACCCAATGAAGCGACAATTCCAAAACAGATGTGAAGGAAATAAAACAAACGGATCTTCTTCTTGAAAAAATGATGGCTGAGCGTACCTTTCGACGTTCCGCTTCTAGCAGCGCCTTGCGTTTTCTTTCTTGGTGTTTGGCGACCTGAGATTGCCATTTCACCGACAACTGCCAAAGCCAAAGAAAGCGTATCAAAGTTCAGAGGGGCCTCTTTTGCTTCGATTTGTTTCATTTCCTCTTCCAAGGCCTTTTCTCTCCTTGATTGCTCCTCGCTGCAGGTCGACGCCCAAGGCTCAAAACAACTCTAAAACACAAATGCTTGACTAAAGTGCATAGCAACAATGATATTGCCATCTGTTGCAGTAACAATGCTGGCCTTCTTGTCCAAAATTTTTGATTTTTCCAATCTCCACCAGTCTGGGGTTGCAGTACCTCGCACCCAAAAAAAAACACAAACCCAACCCCAACAAACGCGTGGGGATTGGCCCGAAGTGCAAGCCCTTGAAAACAATTGCCCCGTTGAATACTACTTGTCGGCGCACCGTCTTCTGCTGGCCTTTCCTGTCCGCATCAAAAGTAGGCGCAAACCTAGTGCAATTCCACATGGCCACATGGATGCCTTGGATTTTTCGCCATCCTTCGCCTCGCCGTTGCCCTGGGAAGTTGAAGCAACGCATGTGAGGTGACTTTGTTATACGTTGCTGTGTGTTGGGCGCGGCTGAGATGTGAGTGGTGAGTTTGTTCAAAAGGCGGTGGAAAGGCACGCGGTTTGACACCACAATCTCCAGCTTCATGCGGAGGCAGAACAAAAGTTGTTGAGCCCATGACCTGTATACAACCCTTAGAATCCCACAGGGAATCACAGTGGAATATATATATATAAAGCGTAAGCAGCACCTGTTTTCTTATTCGCTCTGCAGCAGGTTTGTCGGAAAATATAAAGACTTGAGGCCAAGGGGGGGGCGAAAGCTAGCGCTCCAGAATGGGAAAGTGGAGGGCAGCGAGGTAGGAAAAAACACGGCGCTCTTTTTGGAGGCAGGGGTGAAGAGTCCTTTATATGTGGCTCTTTGCCCGGATCCTCCTGCGAGAGAAGAGAGAGAAGAGAGACGGAAAGACGAGAGACAGAGAGGAGAGAGAGAGAGAGAGGAGAGAGAGATGAGAGAGATGAGAAAGAGATGAGAGAGACAGTGAGACAGTGAGACAGTGAGAGAGTGAGAGTGAGAGTGAGCGAGTGCGGCCGCAAGATACGCAACGCTAACCGCATGCCAAAGAGCGACGACAGGACGGAGTCGAACTTGCGAAGAGGGAGGAGGGAGGGAGGGAGGGAGGGAGGG